TTTCGTACGGGATTTCGATTTGTACAGGATTTCGGACTGGATTTCGTACGGGATTTCGTTCGGGATTTCGGAAGGGATTTCGGACTGGTTTTTGGACGGGATTTCGGACGTGATTTAGATTTCGGACGGGATTTAGATTTCGTACGGGATTTTGTACGGGATTTCGTACGGGATTTCGATTTGTACGGGATTTCAGACGGGATTTCGGACGGGATTCGGACGGGATTTCGGACGGGATTTCGTACGGGATTTCGGACGGGATTTCGGACGGGATTCGGACGGGATTTCGGACGTGATTTCGGACGGGATTTTGGACGAGATTTCAGACGGGATTTCGGACGGGATTTCGTACGGGATTTCGATTTCGTACGGGATTTCGATTTCGTACGGGATTTCGTACGGGATTTTAGATTTCGTACGGGATTTCGGACAGGATTTCGTACAGGATTTTGTACGGGATTTCGTACAGGATTTCGGACGGGAATTCGGACGGGATCTCGGGCGGGATTTCGGACGGGATTTCGGACGGGATTTCGGATGGGATTTCGGACGGGATTTTGATTTCGTACAGGATTTCGTACGGGATTTCGTACGGGAATTCGATTTTGTACGGGATTTCAGACGGGATTTCGGACGGGATTTCGGACGGGATTTCGGACGGGATTTCGGACGGGGTTCGTACGGGATTTCGGACAGGATTTCAGACGGGATTTCGGACGGGATTCGGACGGGATTTGGACGAAATTTCAGACGCGATTTCGGACTGGATCTCGGACGGGATTTCGGACGGGGGATTTCGGACGGGATTTCGGACGGGATTTCGGACGTGATTTCGGACGGGATTTTGATCGAGATTTCAGACGGGATTTCGGACGGGATTCGTACGGGATTCGATTTCGTACGGGATTTCGATTCGTACGGGATTTCGTACGGGATTTTAGATTTCGTACGGGATTTCGGACAGGATTTCGTACAGGATTTGTACGGGATTTCGTACAGGATTTCGGACGGGAATTCGGACGGGATCTCGGACGGGATTTCGGACGGGATTTCGGACGGGATTTCGGACGGGGTTTCGTACGGGATTTCGGACAGGATTTCAGACGGGATTTCGGACGGGATTTCGGACGGGATTTTGGACGAAATTTCAGACGCGATTTCGGACTGGATATCGGACGGGATTTCGGACGGGATTTCGGACGGGATTTCGGACGGGATTTCGGACGTGATTTCGGACGGGATTTTGATCGAGATTTCAGACGGGATTTGGGACGGGATTTTGTACGGGATTTCGTACGGGATTTCGATTTCGTACGGGATTTCGATTTCATACGGGATTTCGTACGGGATTTCGGACAGGATTTCGTACAGGATTTTGTACGGGATTTCGTACAGGATTTCGGACGGGAATTCGGACGGGATCTCGGGCGGGATTTCGGACGGGATTTCAGACGGGATTTCGGACTGGATCTCGGACGGGATTTCGGACGGGATTTCGGATGGGATTTCGGATGGGATTTCGTACGGGATTTCGGACGGGATTTCGGACGGGATTTTGGACGGGATTTCGGACGTGATTTCGGACGGGATTTTGGACGAGATTTCAGACGGGATTTCGGACGGGATTTTGTACGGGATTCGTACGGGATTCGATTCGTACGGGATTTCGATTTCGTACGGGATTTCGTACGGGATTTAGATTTCGTACGGGATTTCGTACGGGATTTCGTACAGGATTTCGATTTGTATGGGATTTCGGACTGGATTTTGTACAGGATTTCGTACGGGATTTCGTACGGGATTTTGTACGGCATTTCGGACTGGATTTCGGACGGGATTTCGGACAGGATTTCGGATGGGATTTCGATTTCATACGGGATTTTGTACGGGATTTCTTACGGGATTTAGATTTTGTACGGGATCTCGGACTGGATTTCGTACAGGATTTCGTGAGGGATTTCGTAAGGGATTTCGTACGGGTTTTCGGACGGGTTTTCGGACGGGATTCGGACGGGATTTAGATATCGGACGGGATTTAGATTTCGGACGGGATTTCGTAGGGATTTCGTACGGGATTTCGATTTCGTACGGGATTTCGATTTTGTACGGGATTTCTGACGCGATTTCGGACGGGATTTCGGACGGGATTTCGGACGGGATTTAGATTTCGTACAGGATTTCGTACGGGATTTCGATTTCGTACGGGATTTCGTACGGGATTTCGTACAGGATTTCGATTTTGTACTGGATTTCGGACTGGATTTCGTACAGGATTTGTACGGGATTTCGGAAGGGATTTCGGATGGTTTTTGGACGGGATTTCGGACGTGATTTCGGACGGGATTTAGGACAGGATTTCGGATGGGATTTCGGACGGGATTTAGGACAGGATTTCGGATGGGATTTCGATTTCGTACGGGATTTTGTACGGGATTTCTTACGGGATTTAGATTTTGTACGGGATTTCGGACTGGATTTCGTACAGGATTTCGTGAGGGATTTCGTAAGGGATTTCGTACGGGTTTTCGGACGGGTTTTCGGACGGGATTCGGACGGGATTTAGATATCGGACGGGATTTAGATTTCGGACAGGATTTCGTATGGGATTTCGTACGGGATTTCGATTTCGTACGGGATTTCGACGGGATTTCGATTTTGTACGGGATTTCGTACGGGATCGATTTTGTACGGGATTTCGGACGGTATTTCGGACGGGATTTCGGACGGGATTTCGGACGCGATTTCGGACGGGATTTCGGACGGGATTTCGTACGGGATTTCGTACAGGATTTCGTACGGGATTTCGATTTCGTACGAGATTTAGATTTCGTACGGGATTTCGTACAGGATTACGATTTTGTACAGGATTTCGGACTGGATTTCGTACAGGATTTTGTACGGGATTTCGGAAGGGATTTTGGACTGGTTTTTGGACGGGATTTAGATTTCGGACGGGATTTCGTATGGGATTTCGTAGGGATTTCCATTTCGTACGGGATGTCGTACGGGAATTCGATTTCGTACGGGATTCGTACAGGATTTCGATTTTGAACGGGATTTCGGACGGGATTTTGGACGGGATTTCGGACGGATTTCGGACGTGATTTCGGACGGGATTTCGGACGGGATTTCGTACGGGATTTCGTACGGGATTTCGATTTCGTACCGGATTTCGATTTCGTACGGGATTTCGTACGGGATTTCGATTTTGTACAGGATTTCGGACAGGATTTCGTACGGGATTTCGTTCGGGATTTCGGAAGGGATTTCGGACTGGTTTTGGACGGGGATTTCGGACGTGATTTAGATTTCGGACGGGATTTAGATTTCGTACGGGATTTTGTACGGGATTTCGTACGGGATTTCGATTTTGTACGGGATTTCAGACGGGATTTCGGACGGGATTTCGGACGGGATTTCGGACGGGATTTCGTACGGGATTTCGGACGGGATTTCGGGATGGGATTTCGGAAGGGATTTCGGACGTTATTCGGACGGGATTTTGGACGAGATTCAGACGGGATTTCGGACGGGATTTCGTACGGGATTTCGATTTCGTACGGGATTTCAATTTCGTACGGGATTTCGTACGGGATTTTAGATTTCGTACGGGATTTCGGACAGGATTTCGTACAGGATTTTGTACGGGATTTCGTACAGGATTTCGGACGGGAATTCGGACGGGATCTCGGGCGGGATTTCGGACGGGATTTCGGACGGGATTTCGGATGGGATTTCGGACGGGATTTCGATTTCGTACAGGATTTGTACGGGATTTCGTACGGTAATTCGATTTTGTACGGGATTTCAGAAGGGATTTCGGACGGGATTTCGGACGGGATTTCGGACGGGATTTCGGACGGGATTTCGTACGGGATTCGGACGGGATTTCGGACGGGATTTCGGACGGGATTTTGGACGAAATTTCAGACGCGATTTCAGACTGGATCTCGGACGGGATTTCGGACGGGATTTCGGACGGGATTTCGGAGGGATTTCGTACGGGATTTCGGACGGGATTTCGGACGGGATTTCGGACGGGATTTGGACGGGGGGAACGGGTGATTTCGGCGGGATTTGGACGGATTTCGTCGTACGGGATTTCTACAGGATTTCG